TGGAGTGAAGCAGCATCGGGATTGAGTTGCTCCACACCACGAACTTAACAACCTACATCGAAGTAGTAGTCTTTCCGCCAGCAGATGGTGTGAAGCAACACCAGACTTGAGTTGCTCCATCCACTTGAACCGCAAGAAAATGGAGTGAAGCATCACCAGGATTGAGTTGCTCCTCACCACCAAGTTCCAACGGTCTACAATAACTCATGTGTGGCCACGCAAAAAAGTTGTGCAGTTTCACCAACTTCAGCAAAACTGATCCGCACAGCAGATGGAGTGAAGCAGCACCAGGATTGTGTTGCTCCACATCACGAACTTAACAACTTACATCGAAGTAGTAGTTGATCCGCACAGCAGATAGTGTGAAGCAGCACCAAGATTGGGTTGCTAACACCACCAAGTTCCAGCTGTCTGCAATAACCCATTGTGTGTGGCCACGCTGAGAAGCTGGCAGTCTCAACGACATCAGTGTGGTTGATCCGCACAGCAGATGGAGTGAAGCAGCACCAAGATTGGGTTGCTCCACTATATCAAGTTCTAGCGGTCTGCGATAAAACATGGATGGCCACGCAGAAGTTGCGCAAATTCAGCAACTTCAGCATAGTTGACCCGCACAGCAGATGGAGTGAAGCAGCATCAGGATTGAGTTGCTCCACATCAAACTTACAGAGAAGTGGTTTTACAATTACCCATAGTGTGGCCACGCTGAGAAGCTGGCAGTCTCAGCGACTTCAGTGCAGTTGATCCGCACAGCAGATGATGTGAAGCAGCACCAAATTTGATTTGCTTGACACCACTTGATCCGCAAGGAAATGGAGTGAAGCAGCACCAGGATTGAGTTGCTCCACACCGCCAAGTTCTAGCGGTCTGCAATAAAACATGTGTGGTCACGCAAAAAAGTTGTGAGGTTTCAGCAACTTCAGCAAAGCTGACGCACAGCAGACTGAGTGAAGCAGCACCAGGATTGAGTTGCTTCACATCACGAACTTAACAACTTACATCGAAGTAGTAGTTGATCCGCACAGCAGATAGTGTGAAGCAGCACCAAGATTGGGTTGCTAACACCACCAAGTTCCAGCGGTCTGCAATAACCCATTGTGTGGCTACGCTGAGAAGCTGGCAGTTCCAGCGAATTTAGTGTAGTTGATCCGCACAGCAGATGGAGTGAAGCAGCACCAAGATTGGGTTGCTAACACCACCAAGTTCCAGCGGTCTGCAATAACCCATTGTGTGGCTACGCTGAGAAGCTGGCAGTTCCAGCGAATTCAGTGTAGTTGATCCGCACAGCAGATGGAGTGAAGCAGCACCAAGATTGGGTTGCTCCACACCACAAACTTACATAGAAGTAGTTTTACAATCACCCATTGTGTGGCCACGCTGAGAAGCTGGCAGTCTCAGCGACTTCAGCGTAGTTGATCCGTAAGCAGATGGTGTGAGGCAGCGCCAGGATTGAGTTGCTCCATCCACTTGATCCGCAAGAAAATGGAGTGAAGCAGCACCAAGATTGGGTTGCTACACACCACCAAGTTCCAGCGGTCTGCAATAACCCATTGTGTGGCCACGCTGAGAAGCTGGCAGTTCCAGCGAATTCAGTGTAATTGATCCGCACAGCAGCTGGAGTGAAGCAGCATCAGGATTGAGTTGCTCCAGACGCTAAACTTACAGAGAAGTAGTTCTACAAACACACAGTGTGTGGCCAAGCTGAGAAGCTGCGCAGTCTCAGCAATTTCAGTGTAGTTGATCCGCAAGCAGGCGCATGACGCACACACGTTGAGGAAACACGGAAAGAAAGGCTCGAGAAAGTTCGAAGAAAGGCTAGAATCAACCATCCTTAGAGAGCGGCATACAAATATAAGGGGCGGATGCGCCTTTTCTCTGCATTAGAGCCTAACCAAACCTTGTTTTGCCTTTGAACACATATTACAATCAAAGTAGTAAACGCAAGCTATAGGACTAGTATTCAACTAGCAATGTATGTCAAACAACTTCTGCACAAATACAATTCACGTGCACAGAAAGAAAATTGTCAAACGAAATGGGGATGACTAAAATGGATTAGTTTATCGGGAGTGTCATATCAGAAAGAAAAACATTCTCTCTGTGATTTTGTTGCGATGTATTTGTAGAAAATTCTGCTTTCAAAAAATGCGAAAGGTGGATCGAGAGGTTCTATTGAGTGCAGTTTAAGATTTTTCATTGCTGAATTGCCAGTGAAAACAGATGTTTGTTTGTAGAGATATTCCTCTATACTTCAGATTAGGCTTGCTCCAGATATTTTAGGTACCTCCCTCTAATCGTTGATCTCTCTCACTTTTACTTTGAACAGGATAATTTCACTGCTTTCTCATCCTTGCCCCATCTCGATGGTTATCTATGAGAAGCTGCCGAGAGAAGTGAAACGATCAGCAACGGAAATCTTCTGTCATAAAGATCTGGTAAGTTGCCAGTGAAGACAACACAACCGCGGGAACTGATGAATCGCCCGTATCTCATAAGCAGCTAAAGGATGAACAACGGCGGATTAAGCGAGAACAGTGAGTGGAACGTGGAAGAAGAACCAGATCTGCATGAGTGTGCGGTAACCATAAGCAGATGAGCTTAATATTATGATCGTACTAATGCAAATTAGCAGTGGAATTTATTGTCGCTGAGAATATCACAATATGGAGAAGAATGACAAATTTTTGCCTTAACGAGGATTCTAACAAAGGAATTATGAGTCAGAGTTTCTGTCCTCGCAAACATCATCTTTCAGCATTGACGTAATCATGATCAAGCGCAAGAAAATCTCGTTTTTGTGTTTGTTGCGAGATATGTGCATGTCAGAAATTTTGCCGCAACCTTATGCGAAGAGCGCGACCTTCAAAGGAATGTGCCCGCGGGCAGTCGAAAATTATTTCGATCGCCGACTACAGCGCATTAGTCTCTCGAATCGAATCAGTGGCTCGGGTCAATGAAGCTGAACTTTGAAGCCGACTAAACAAGAAAGAAAAGCTCGTTTTATGCGCACTGTTCACAGAAGAACAATTGCTTGGTATTTTATGTATGAATGAGGGAGAAAGTTTATGAGTTGGAGGGTGTAACTCCATCTCCCAGACAGTTTGGCAGTGTTGTGTTAGAAGTATGTACCTTCTGGAATGTAGTGCTCATAGATTACCTCGATATAGGTACATAGAAATGAATGAATAAATAATGACTTTCTACGCCAAAAGATTGGTCTCCAACATGGCTGAGTAAAAGCCCTGAAAAATGCTTTTCTTCACTGTATCTTGGAAAACCAACGTATTCATAAGATGACCAAGTAGGCTCAAAGCATGGCAACAGCGAATCAGTACTGCTGAAGTTTTTCCTCATTGAAAATTTGAAATTAGAAACGGCCATCTTACCTCAAGCACTTTAACTGTTTGTCCTTCTTGGTAAACTTTTTATCAACTTTCGAAATGCGTTATCGTGGCTTATTGTGGCATCCCCTAAGCACATTGAATAAAGAAGTAAACGGCTGAATTCAAAAGTAAATAACCACAAAAGAAATAGTTTACTTTCCGCAACGTTCGCACTTACGCGTTTTATAATACACTTAATATTCTAGCCCTGATGCTGCTGTTATTATGGGATTTTCACAAACTGTTGGGTCAAAAGTTTGCTTCAGACATGCCCGCTAATCTTGACACTATTTTTTGGCTAATAGTATTCCTTTCTACTATGTACAAAAAAAGGAAGACTAATAGGAAGAGAGTAAAGTAGAGGATTACTAGTAAGACATGCTGTATTAATTTCGGAAAGTTTGTATGAACGTTGTTCGACTCCAGTCCATTAAAATTTTTCTAAAGTAAGTAAATTACTGATTAATACCACAAATCGTTGAAACTCGCGGTTGAATTAGCTGTTTTCTCGATTCCACTAGCATATCCTTTTCGATTTCCTCTAGACGCTTGATTCGATGTCTCATCGCGCGCCCAATTTGCTGGCCTTTTTTATTTCGCGGTGGACACGTGCAATAATTAGAGAAAAAAGTGAAAGTAAGAGTAGCGGGTTTCGAATAAGCCCGTGCATAGGCACACTTGGCACGATATGACGAAACTTCCAACAGAAACGTCCACCAATCCATGCAAGACACTTTAGGCTGATATGCATCAGATAAGACTGTACCTTTACAATCCTTAGCCCGATTTTAGCACCTCAAAATTTTCCGTTCCACAACTTTCAATAGTTTGTGGTATTCTCCGGTGCCTTTGTACAGTAGTGAAATATTAGAATTAAGGATTGAGCCATAAGTCATTTGTCCTATAGTAGTGCTCATTTATCCACTCACCGCCTGATTTCATGAGTATGAATCCACAATGCGCGTGGAGGTGAATTACTTTAGTAATTTTTCAAGGATTTAAAAAACCTGTCAGTAATGTAAAAAATTGTGCCAAGTAGGTGACTGCTGAGTAGTACAACTCTAGGTTTTAATGCTGTATTGACTTACTTCTTGAATCTGTCAGTACCTTCCCAGCTCCTAGCTGAAGTCCTCAAACAGTTCCTTGTTGCTAAATGGACATGACAGTTACACAGCTTCATTATGCGCTTCCCTTACATGGCATGAATAAGGTCCAATTTTCGATATTAGTATCGATAATGCATTTTGCTATAATAATACAATGTGTTACACCTAAAGTATATGTCGACGTGTCTGTCATATCGAAAGCTGAACACGGCGCACAGATGTCACGACACAACTCCGGTTGTCTGATTACAGTATCGCTCAGCTTCTCGACGGCTAGCTCTTTCTGACTGCGTCTCGTCATTTGAGACGAACTCTAGCGCGCTAAGGGTGTGGTTACGTAATCACACATAATGATCTACTCGTTCTAGCTTATCAATGACGAAACTCTCGTCAAAACTGGGCTTCTCTACCCCCGGGGGCACTTCTATGCGTCTAAAGGTTCCATACAATATTTCGGTTCTCGTCTGACGTCGAACGAAGACGCTCGCTGAGGCGGCGACGGGGGCGGGCGATGGCGCAGTCGCAACGGCTTCTCAACCAGTGCGTCTCCTCTGACACCTCGATGAAATACCATATAGTGCTTATCGCTTTCATTGCAGGTAAGGATTCATTTCTTTTAGCAAGTTTTCCCCTTTGGGTCAATTCCCGTTGAAACTTCCTGCGATTTCCCTTTCGTTGAACGATCGTTGGCGCCTCTTTTATGACTTCGTAGTAGTCCACTATGGTTCTTCCAGTCCTAAAAACTTCATTCGCTCCTGTTACTAGCCACCCTTTTCTGGCTGACGATTCCTTCTTCCGGTCCTTCGTCTTCCCATGAATCTTCCCGAGACAGCTAGCCACCTCCCGGCTGATCTCGCTTCGGCACATTATCTCTCAAAGCCCATCAACAATGAAACTTTCGTCTCGTCTTCGCTTCACATTCGATTCGCTCGCTCCGCTCTCCAATTCTCGGATTATCACGATCTAACGATCTCTTCACTGACGAACGGGATGACCGCATGCTTCTTGCAAGAATCACGTTCTTTCACTTGGCTAGGCTAATAAAATTAGGGGAAATCCGCGCAAAAAGTAGTACGATCTTTCGAGAATCTATCGCCTAGCTTCTTAGCCAACTACGTAAAAAAAGGTTCCTATGTAAACGATATCATTTTTTCAGTGAAAAAAACCCTTTCTCTTCCTTCTGCATTAATTACCGAAAAAATTGCTAGCAAAAGTGTAGTGAAGTTTTCCAGCATTCTTATGCAATGGATCGTTTTCCACAGAACAATTATCTCATGACTTTTTCAGCCAAATAGCTTGATCCGCGCTTGTGGCTTTTTCCCACTACAATCCCCATCATTAATCACCATGTCACCTGAATGTTTTTCTATTCTTCTCTCTAAAATTCTCCTGGAGTGGCCAAACCCGAACTTAGCTTGAAAAGCTTCTCCATTTAAGCTTTGATTTAGTTCTTCAAACTATCAAGATGATGGCTTCGCTTCGCTTTTCTACCTCGTAAATAAGCAATTTCCTCGTTCCGCACGCTTGTCCACTATTTCAGAAGGAAAACTGTGAAAAGAGGAAGCAATTTGTTGGGAAGAGGCGCCCATGAAATTCAAGATCTCTAATCTATGTAGGAAATAGAAATCCACGAGCAAGAAAACATTTCCCACAAAACCTTCACTTTGACTGCGAAATCATATACCTAGACAGCTGGGGGCAAATTATCAGAGACATTAAGTACACATATGATGATGATCGAGTATTCGAAATTGAGGCTCATCTTCCAAGATTTATAGATCTCTACCTTTCAATATCTACTCTATACATAAAAGTCAAATATTGCAGTGACATGGACGGTAGCACTGGCTCAAGATGATTCGAATGAAGTGAAGGCTAGCCCTGGTAAGTTTTTAAGAATCCGATGTTTCTTGGAGGCTTCTCTGTATTAGTGGACATGAATGTCTTGACCATTTTTTATACCTCTTTCCCCTTGATGTAACCTAATCTTATTGCAGAATCAACATTTAAATGTTTTTTTTTGATTTTTTAGCTCTTTATCATTGTGATCTCGCTATTAAAATCTGAGAGAGTTCAATTCACCATATTCAGTGGACATTGCCCAAATATCAACCTAGAATCTTACAAAAGTGATGTTTTCAAAACATACAAAATGTTAGTCTTTTTTTTCAGAAGACGACAAGAGCGTAATAAGCGATGAAGAAGATGACAGTACGACCAAAAGTGGCGAAGTAACCGCAGAAAGGGGCCCACCATCTGCTGAACAAACTGAGGAAGAGAAAAAAACCGAAGGGAAAAGCCCTGGAATGGTAACTCGTAGCATGCATCAGCTCTTTTATTGTAGTATCTATTTTTGTTTTAGAAATCGGACGATTCAGCTGCAGAGGATAAAACGGAGGAGAAGTCGTCAGATACAGAAGAAGTTTTTGATAAACATGGGTATGTTGAAACAATCTTGCATGTTATATCAAAGGGAAGGTTTGATTTCAGAAGAAGATGTATGGATAGACACGATCTGTGTAAGTTCTGGTCATCTATAGGAGAATGTCAGACGAACAAGGATTGGATGGAAGATCATTGTCCAGTGTCGTGCTCAGTGTGTAACGGTCAGTGGCCACTACAAATCTATTGATGTTTATGTTCTGTAGAGTGTAATGGAAATTCCTACAGATCTCAAAAAAAGGGGAACTTACGCTGGATAGTAAGCTACGACCTTTTTTTGGAAATTTCCAAACAATGTAGTTTTTCAGGAACTATGGCATGTATAGATCGTCATCGTCTATGCAATTTCTGGTCAGCGATCAAGGAATGCGAGACGAACGCGGTTTGGATGTTGTCCAACTGTCCGAAAGCATGCAAAGCTTGCAAGGGTGAGGTTTATTTTGATTTCAACCGCTCAGGAATTCAAAAGAAATCACAGGAACACACAGTTGAATTTGATTTCAAACAATAATGAAAATTTTCTGATTCTAAGCAACCATTCAACACTTATCTGTTTGAAAAAGAATGTATAGTACCATATATTTTTACTGAAGTAGAGAAAATCATGACGGAGTAGAAAATGCATTATCCATACAATCTCCTTCCTCTCACAAAAGTTTTTATGTACATTGAGTCTGAAATATCAGATGATGACCCGAATATGAAGGTACAAAAAGTAAACTTCATTTTGATAGTTTTTTTGGGTTCTTGGCTAAGAATCTTCTTAGGAAAGCCTATTGGTCCATCCGGTGGCTCGCGGAAGGACGGTGGATTTCGTATTGAGGACTGCACTTTTGTTACTACTCATGAAGGTCTAATCTTTTTTCTCAGATTTTTTTTTGGAATTTTCAAGGAAATATCATTTTTAGACACATCCCATCGTAAAACTCTTTCAATAAATGACGTAAGGAACAGCAACGCAAATTTCAACTGCGCTCCAACCCAAATGGCACCAAACTGCAACCGAAACCTGTGCTATCACCTCAAGTGAGTTTTTTACAGTTTTTGCTGTGGATGTCGCGCGTTTATTGCCTAATTTATGGCTCTAGGTTCCGAACGTTTGACGGCACTTGCAACAATCTGGATAAACCGATGAGCGGTTCAGCGTTTAGCGCTCTTATGCGACTAAAAACGCCACAGTACGACAACGGTCTGAATGCACCAACATGTAAGAGTGAAATGAACCAGAGATTGGGATCTAGAAGGTGAAAAACTTTTTTCTTTTACAGCGTCGTTTTCGCGTACTCGGCCGTCGTCGCGCGATGCGTCACGTCTTCTTCTGTCGTCGCCGTCGCAGGTCAATAGTTTTATGTGCAAACCACTGAAATCGCCATTTTCACTGGGATTTTACAGATCCCACATCACTCGAATGCGCTTCTGATGCAATGGGGACAGTTCACTGCACACGATATTTCCAAAACGACCATGTTGAATAATCAGGAATGTGCCGCTTGCACTTCGAATAAGGGCAGATGCTTCTCAGTCTTCCTGTCAAGAGCTGATCCCACGTAAGTTCGGGTGTTTTTACTTTTGATCAGAGAGAACTTTCTGCGGATCAAAAACTGTATAGAAGCAATGCCATAAATAGCGTATGTCGTCAAGTAGTTGCGCGTGCAATGTCAATGCAAGATAAATTTTGAATGTTCACGCAAAGCATAAGAAGTGTAACTCTCAAATGTTCGTAGTATTATAACTAAAAGTTTTGTCTCGGACAGAATCATGCTTTCTCAGTATTAAGACCAAGTCTTCAGCAACAAATTGTGGTGCAATCTCACCAGATCGCACTGAAAATAGGAATTGTATTACATGCCAAAATAATTTTACGGCGATAAGTAAAAACAATGTTTGTCTAATTGCGATGGGTGCACTGACAAAGTTCTTCCGAGGAGTGGGGCGGAAACTTCCAAAAAAAAAGACGTGACGTTAACCGCTCGAAAAATTATGGGAGCTTTTCGAATGCCTATCGTCTGCTAATTTGCGAAAAGAATTTTTTTTACAAAGTTAGTGCGTATTTTTACAAGAATCAAAAATTCACTCTATTTATCTGCAATCGAAAGCAGTAATGGGCTGGAACTCGCATGCGTTTTATGTAGTTATAAGAAAATCAATCTTATTAAACAGACTGTTCATCTGAAACCGCTTTTTGAACATTTTATCCCTCTCGATTTTTGAAACAAATCTACATATTCCTGACAGCTGCTCTTAAGACTTTTCGTATGGATTCAAAACTCTCATCTGATTTTCCTTTCACAAAAGATGTCTGTAATGTAAAGATGACGACATCGAGATCATGTTTTGTTCACTTTGAAAGTTTCCTTCCTCGATCTTATAGTTTCAAAACAAGCCCACTCATCAGTTCAGCTGATCTCCGCCGCATCGTATACGAGATCGAGCTTTATGAGAATACTGTTCGCTTGTTATTGCGTGTCGCTGCTATAGCAGGTTCTTTCGTTACGAAACGGTGCTAGCTGCTGCTTATCGCATATGGGCTTTTATACACAGGGCAGATAAATTGTAATAAGTTTACTACAAGTGCATAAGTCTTTTATGGAACGAGTGGTCGGGTTTGATTTGCAGAAAAAAACATAGGGTTATTTTCATATTTCCCTAAAAGAGAAGTCCTTTTGGTAATGTATCCAATCATCCATTCGTAAGTGATCAGCACTCGGCAGAGCATCTATTTTGGATTACGGTAGTCCAGCACGGACCTAAAATCGCAAAGAAAAAACGTTAAATCTTTTGCCAAAGAGGGGGGAGGGATGCGGATACTGCCATATCCTGTTCTCAACATAAAGATCGAAATCTAACCGAGTCATCAGCTTACACTAACACTAAAATAAATCCTATCACAGGTTCGGTCGCTTCATGTGCCTACCGGTAGCTCGTTCCACGCCAGTTTGTGGAACTGGTACAAGCACATTCCGTGAACAGTACAACGAGAACACTGCTTTCATCGATGGGTCACAGGTTATTAGACAAAGATCAGCATCGATCAAAGACAGTTGCAATGTTGTTTTCTAGATCTACGGCAGCAGTGATAGGGACCAATTCCTTTTCCGACAAGGCGCTTTCTTGAAGACGAAGCTGGTGAAGAATAGAGTATTTCCTCCCATTGGTAAGCTTACACTTGATTTCTGAGAAATGAATTCCATTTGTGATCATTTTGCAGACACCAATATGAACGTCGTTGCTGGTGATGATAGAGCAAATATTTTCGTTGGACTAGCTGCTCTACATACATTGTTCCTGAGAGAGCACAACAAGTGAGTTACGGTATCCGTAGATTCTTGGTCCTAATGAAATAGCAAGGGTAACGATTATTTCTAATTAAAGATTCTTGAAAGAAAAACTTTGGAAGAAGTATATCATCAAGCAAAATGCCAAAAACTTCACTCAAAGCCCTCGGAATCAGCAGTTTCTTAACGATTTAGAAGATAACGATCTATTCATAGAAATTCATGCTTTAGATACAAAGGAGAGTAAAGTCTAAAGTAAAAATTAATACCAATGGGGGTAGGATTTCTGTCCGGGGGGGGGGGGGAGCGAAATTTTTTTTTTTGAATAAAGGTGCGTGACGTCAGCCACGCATCCGAAAATTTATAGTGGTGCGCAGAACTTTTACGGGCCCATGACCCTGAAATTTTTAAATGGGGCCTGGCGGCAGACACAACCCCCAAAAAGTCTTTTACAGGGCTAATATAAATCTTTAAAATTTCAAAAATCACTTCAATTGTTACGAGTACAAGCTAATTACTTCCACATTTTTACAGCACATAGTACTTTCGAGAATTTTGCGACCCACTCTCGGGGAAGGGAAGCCTCCTACCCCCTCGGTCTGCCGCCGCCGTATTCTGCGACCTATATGCTAAAAGGCTTCAGAAAACTTTTGTGATGTTTCTGCAAATGTCTGCAGTATTTGTGATGTTAAGTAGAGATTTCCACCACAATTTTCGAGGCATTTAGAGACATAGCTCCCAGATTTAACGCGAATAATTGTTTTTTTCTACCTGAAACGTAGGTTCCAACCCGATCAGTTCTCTCACTAATCTGAATTATCACATGAAATTTCTTTTGCAGGATTGCCGCTACACTCCAACGAGTGAACAGCCACTGGGATCAAGAGCGAGTCTTCCACGAGACTAGGAAGCTCATCGGTGCCATTCTGCAGAAAATTACTTATTATGTACGTTTTTCAACTTGGTCTTTCAAAGTGTCGAAATTTATGGCTAAATTTGAAGGAATACTTACCTCGAGTCCTGGGCGATGCTTATACTCGTCGTATTGGCGAATATCGTGGCTACGATAATAGGGTGGATCCATCAGTAGCAAACGAATTCACTAGCTGTGCTTTCCGCTTCGGGCATGGCATGATTCAGGTAAAAAGAAATACCTTTCGAGTTTTCGAATCCAACATAATGTTTTAGGAGTTCTATCCATTCCTAAATGAGGAATTCAAAAGCGTTGGTGGAATCCCATTTAATGATGGCATGTTCAAGAGTATACATATTCTTAATAATGGTATAGATCCTCTCTTGAGAGGTTTCCTTACCCTTCCAGCAAAGATGCCCCAACGGTAAGCATTTTGGCAATTCTAGGGGACGGGATGTTTGAGGTAGGAAAAAAATGCTAGTGCGGAAGCACCCCCAGCCATATAAGGTTTCCAGTGCGCTTGTCTAGACTTGAGAGCAATGAATTTATTGAAGATTCAGATAGCAGCGTCACAGTTATGTAACTGTTAATTTGAAGCGCTGCTTATGCATCATCCCATTATCCCATATGGAAACCTAATGTTATTTTGTTTTCCTCAGATTGAGCCCAGCCGTTACGGAAAAGATTTTCGGAAATTCTGACTTGGGATCAATCAACATCCAAAGAGGAAGGTATGTTGTAAAACTAAAACTTGACTTTAGTTCAGTGAGGTAGATGCAGCTTCCATTTTGTGAGCGTTATCTTCTTTCTTCCTTTATGCTTTTCAAACCTTCTTCTCCCTTCTAACACACTTTTTACCCATACTCCTAACTTCAGTGGGGCTACCGAAAATTTTGAAAATCGGAGCTAACCTCAGTTCTTACCCCTAATCAACGTTTACTCAGTAACTCAATAAACATCAGTAATAAAAGCTCAAAATCTTCAAAAATGAATGTTTCTTATAAACCCTGTGTTCGTAGTATGGTTTCAACTAGAAATGAGATGCTCCTCAAGAACCAGCCTTGATTTACGTTAAAACGGCTTTAGGCCTTGTCCATACTTCACGCGATTTCAGTCGCAACGCCATCTGGCAATCTGCCAGACGTCTTTAAAGTGACAGTGGCAGACCTCAAAAGCATACTGTACAACTTAGTAGGATTGATATCTGCACATTTAGAATGAGCGCACGATGAGTTATGGATAATTGGATTATTGCCAATCGCGTTGCGACTGAAATCGCGTGATGTACGCCCGGGGCCTTAGACCAGCCGTTTTACCGTGTATCAAGTGCATATCTTCAAAATGGAATGAGATCATTCCAAATTTACAACAATTCCAAAAATTTTTTTAGTTCTTCTTCCACATTACACAGAACTCATGCTTCAAATCAGCATTCGTAGATATCTCCCTCTTCCAGACAATCTTCAAATTTAACCATATGAAGCTAAATTACTTTCGATCCCTCCAAGACTTCGTTAGTTTTTATCTATGATAGGATTGCTCCAATAAGGGTTTTTTTCTAACCATTGATAACATACCATTTAATCTGTAATGTTGCATTGGAGTTTGTGCCTCTGTTCGAGTACTTTGAAAATAAAAATGCTTCATTTTTCAGAGACCACGGCGTTCCCGCATTCATTCAATGGCGATCATTCTGCGGTTTGCCCGAAGTTAGGGACTTCGACGACCTCAACAAGACTATTTCAAACAAAGTGGTCGTAGAAAATCTGCGAGTCATCTACAAACATGTTGGTGAGTGCCTGAAATAAGGAAAATTTTCTATTTCACACTTTTGAAAGCTATGCTCATTTGCGATTTATGTCGTATGGTTTAGGTGCTATTGATATGTACGTCGGCTCATTGTTGGAAGATCCCTTGCCCAGTTCGTTGGTTGGACCAACATTAGCATGTATTATTGGAGAACAATTCAAGCGGACTAGAGACGGTGACAGGTGAGTTCAGAGTTTATACACAGAAGGAGTTTAGCGTGCATAGGATACGATGAGGGTAAAGTAATAGATAGAATCCTGAAATATTTCACTTATTGATTGATCTTCGCAAATTTTGTATTTTTTTGCTTAGAGCATGGTTCAAGATAGTGGTACCGACAGAAGGGTGTCTTGCCCATAACTTCTGTCCTACTTTTTCGCAAAAATCCATATTCTAATTTTCGTCCCTTGCCTTGATCTTTTATTGGTTGTCACGATATAATGTTATTGCTTACGAAAGATTAGGAATCCTGGAAAATGATTTTTCTTCACGTCAGCGAAATAGAAGTCTTCCAAGCAAAATTTCAATCGACGTTCAATAGATGCTAAGCAGTAGCGTTTTTCCCTCATTTGTTGTTCAAAGATGGATTAATCTTCAATCGCTGAGCGCAACTTGAAGAAATGTGAAAGTCATACGTCACCACATTCTCATCCGATTGCTATGATCTTTTCGTTCGTGAGAAAAATGAATTCAATTTCGCCTGGCGGTTGCTAGTCTTGCACCTCTCGTGCGCTCGTAATATGTTCACTATCCATCCAAATCCAGCGATATGTAGCCGAAAGAAAGAACTGGCTCCTAGCTCGTTGTCCTTTGTTGACGCGCGAGATCGCCAGCGAAAACCTGGTGTTCCTGGCTAAAGACGTGGGTTTTTCGGACTCTAGAGAAAATGTGCTTGTTTTCAGGCTCTACTTCGAGAATCCGAAGGTATTTACGCCAGAACAGGTAATACAAATCCGAAAAGTGACGATAGCACGAATACTGTGCGATGCTGGGGAACACTTCGCTTTCGTACCGCGACGAGCATTCGACGTATTCAGACCAACCAAAGATGAACATAATCTGGCGAGGTAAGTGTTAGAAGCGAAGGAGAAGAGCGAAAATGTGGACCCTCTCGCTCTAGTCTTTGTCATGGAGACTGAACATCAACCAAAAACTTATTCGCATAATGGACAAAGAAATGCAGGCATGGATGTGGCGCAAAATTTCCCGAGTTTTCTCGATTTTTGCGGAACCCCAGTCAGGGCCCAGCATTGACACGAAGTTCCCTTTGACTTTGCAAAATTTTACGAATAACCTTCTGTGGATCCTTGAAAGTACGTGGATAAAAGTGATGAAGAAACCAAGAGAATTAGAGATGAAACAAGAGAAGGCGAAAGGAAGGGGGTTTTGTTATAACCATCAAGCGTCATAAAAAAGCAGAGGGGTCAAACATGGGTTGAAGTAGTACTCACTCGCGCATCTCGAAGTGCTCGCAGGTCGCGCGGGAGCAACCTAAAATAGAAAAGCCCAACTCCTTTCATTCACATAACTTCTTAGTAATTTTTTATGCTTTTCTTTTCATCGTCGTCGCGAAGCTATACACCAAATTTGGTGTCGCAGTATTGGTTAGTCGTTGTAAAGAAACTGATTTTTTATCTTTTTACGCATTTAGATCATATTTAATCGAAAATCGTGAAAATCGTGTGACGCAATCATGCACTTTTCCTGTTTGTAACGCGTAAATTTACCTGTTTTTGGTAAAACGACGTTAGATCAAATTTGGGCTTATTAAGAGCAAGAATTGTGCTTGGATAACTTGTCAGGTTTGGAAATCCCCTTGGAACCTTACAATTTCCCATTTGCTTCACCTTTTAAAAACGACGTCCAGCGTGCGAAAGTGCCACCTCCACTGAGCCCTGACCCCGGTTTTGGGAAATCAACGCCAAAGTAGGCGTTGCTGATTGAAGATTTCAAGAAGCGGAGAATCAAATAAAGAACACATTCGGCCTTTTGTATGCACACCTACAACTTTGAGCTGCAGTGGATTATGTGAAAACTGATTCTCTTCATTTTCAAGATGCAAATTTGCTTCTCTCAATTATCAAGAATAATCAAAGAAAAATTATTATTAGCAGTTGCGGTGTTATGTAACTAAATATTTGTAAAAGATTTTTACAGCAATTAAGAAACTTCGCAAGCTCAAAAATTTCTCTTCAAAGATTTAGCAATATACAAAACACTTCATTCGTAAGATCACCTTGTAGAACTAGCAGAAGAGGTTCAATTAGTTCTTGATGGGATTAACTCTACAGTCAATTGTTTACATATGAACACAGACGTTTACAGTACTATTACTACACGGGTTTTGTCTCAAAGCTTGTAACTGTAAGCAAGGGTTTGCTTATGGAATTTGGTTGAAGTGAAACACGTCTCATTAATCGCTATCATGACTTATAATAACGGGCTAAGGGTTGTTTACGTCTTTTTGTGTCTCTGTGTTCTGTCCGTTACGAAATTCGTAGAACATGTTTCAGCCAACCTCCTGAGCCCAAATTTTGCACGGCGCATGCTAGCAGCATGAAAGTCCAATATACAAAAGCGCGAGCAAATCCGTCGAGTGGATCCGTTATAAAATTGCGCGCCAAACGGGTCCACCTGGCTTCTGTACCGCAAAATTCGGTCCGTATCACCACTTTTTGCAGAGTCGTGGATGAATTTGGTAAGCAAATGTGCAAGCGATGGAGTTTAGCCAGAAAAGTAGTCGAAAGTTTACTACATAACGAAAACGGCGCCAAAATGAATTGGTTGTGTAAATGGTCAACTTGCCAAGGTTCTAGCCAAGCGTTTGAGAAGATTTTCGCACAGAGATGTAGCTCACGGTTATCATTACCTTTATGGCGACTACCAAGCCACGACAAATCCAAAAACCTATTCAAATTTGCGTTTGTCTTCCTGCGAAAAGTTTCATCCACTCGAAATCACCGATCTCACGTGAAAAGACGTTCTAAATGAGTGGTTGTTTACATTTTATTTGTGGTAGTCGGCATAGCGCGGTGAGTTCCAGTGCCACGATTTTACGAGAATGAGTAAGGCACATAGATAGTAGAGCCAGTGCGAACCTCTGCGAAGCAGAGGTGACGCACTGGTAATGCAATAATGTAGAGCCACTTTGATAAAGATCGTCTTTTGAATTCGCTTACGCTTGCGCAACAATTCAAACATTTTCTTTTATAGACTTTATGGACTGTCGGTAAGCAAACCACAACACTGGGTCGAACTGTGCCTTACAAGTGTTTTCTATTAGCCTGCAAAATCGGAACCGCAGCCTTACTCTTCTATACTCTGCCAAAGACCCACTTACAATCATTCATTTTTTAATTCAGATGCGATGAGATCCCAGATATTGACTACAAAGCATGGAAGGAAGATATAGGAGCTTAAATCATCTCATGTATTCACATTCTTCATGCGACATCGTCGTCGATCCTCGCCGTTCTAGTCAGCGTCCCACCCCTCTATCTCAATAGTGATCATTAGCATAGTGTACCAGAAGTCTACGTATCTGTACATTGATTTATTGTTATGTTTGTATTATCTGTGTCTTTCTTGCCATCTGCCTTTCCCAAGCCTTTCACTTCGTTAGAGGCGTACCCCAAACGAGCTTTTCAAACGCCTTTTCCATGTAAATCCTCATCAGATACAGGTGCTTACAGTATCGTCATGAAAAAATGTTCAAAGAGAATAAAAGTTTGAAGAGACAATGTAAAGAAATGGGAGGACGCTTGCGCAACAGTTCAAACATTTTTTTAAAGACTCAATGGATTGTTGGTAAGCAGACCACAGTATTGGAGTCAATGTAAAAGTGGCACTTATCCTAAGCCACGAAGCTGATGACCCTTATTCTCAAAGTTGAAAAAATATACATCATTCATTACGGATAGACAAGTATGCGATAAATGTACCGAATCTCAGACAACTGACCGAAACCTCCTGCAATGAAGTGCTGCGGAAATGCTGGAAAGATGCGGGACTTCCGCAACACTTGGTTTGGTGTTCCGCAGACGACTTTCTATCAAAATCTGATCACCGAACGTTATTTCGAGATAATAATCTTGCGTTTCTTAATAAGCCATCATACTTGATGTAAAAAGTCCTTTCAAACGCTAGAGACGTAGACAGCGGTTATTTTTATTTAAAAAAATGGAGATAAAGCGGAGTATTTTGCAGACTTCTTCCAAACTTTCGTTGAGGAGAAAAATGAAAGTGAAGTTGAAAGCGTTCCTAGTTAGCAAAGTATGACTGATGACATATGGCTCAGGAGTGAAGACATTTATCAGATACTGATGAAGTGGCCTAAGTCGGCTTCAGTCTCACACCCGATTTCGTACAGCTACTTTTTATCAAATCAGTAGCGGATATACTAAGTGGGCAGCTTCAATACATTTTCAATTTGAGCATGATGCGTGCAGAAATTCCTGACTGATGGCTGTGTCTCTTGTCAAACCTACATATTAGGGTGAACGGTGAAAAATGGGGCAGCTTGATTTTCATTACATTTTGGGACTTTTTGTTTCGAGCAACAGCAAGCAGATTGCAACTTAAACGTCACTTACATAAGCAACTCTCGCCTATTATTCTGGCAACGCGTTAACGCTCCTCTCCCACAACGCTTGGCGTGGCACCTCGAAGAACTCGAACAGGGTTTTTTGAATATCTCGCAGTATTGCGCTCCCATCGTAGAGTTATAAAGCAAGTCACATACCATTCAAAAGAGTTCTTCACGCTCTTTCAAGAGGTTTATTGAATACATATTCTTTCCTTTTATTTTTAGATAAAGAAGAAAAAAACTTGAAAAATTGCGAATTTTTGGCACAAAGATAATCAAAAAATCATGTTTCAATCTGTAATTTCTGATAGGAGAAATTTAAGGTAAGCAGCATATGGATGGATAGAACGTAAGAAGCTCTATCAGATGGTGGCCAGAAAACATGCGTTCACTTTCAAAGAAGTAAATAATACGCATCCTTGTTCCCAAACCTGCTACTGACCATATCTCCTGACCTCATGCGTTACGGCCAGCAAGCCACAATGGGTTCGGTGACTGTAGCTTCACCCATTGCAGCAGTGGTCCTTTGGATGGTTTCGCATGTTTCACCGCGCAGATACTGCTACAATTTCCTAATTTGTCGAAGTGATTAACTTTGCATTTCATCAAGTATAAGAGTTGTTAGGTATGTAATGACCTTATACGTATAAGAGTTGTTAGGTATGTAATGACCTTATATAGGTACTGTGTAAAGAGAATGATGTACTTTAATATTTATCGAAATTAGAAAGTTCAATCGCTTTTCTCTCTTAGAAAATTACAATTATTCCCAAAGTGTCCCATTTTCACCGTTTACCCTAATATTCCTAAGAAAATGCTTCTTATTAGTCCAGTAAACTATCGACCATTTAGCATAACGTCTATGTTCGCTAGACTTTTTGAGAATATATTAAAAAGGCATATTGTAAAACATTTAGACATTTATAAGATGAGAGAAAGTGAGCAGCATGGGTTTCAGAGAGGTGAAACTACTGTTACGGCTATGTTACAAGCAGTCTTGACCAGATAAAGGTCGGAGTATTGACGTAATCAGGTTTCACAAAAGCAATTGACAAAGATTCTCACAGTAAATTAATCCCCAAACTTATAGCTGTAGGGATACATCCACGTATTGTAGCTTGGATTGAAGCTTTTCTAAATGAGGGAACATAACTAACAAAAAGGATGGTTGGTCGAAGTGGCCTTTTGAGGTGGGTTGTGTACCGTGGTGGAGAGCACAAAACGCTGATTCCAAATCTTTCTTCCTTATCTGCCGCACATTCCTTGACGAAGAGTTATGAGCGTTTGAAGAAGCAAAAAATGAGTGTTCTTCCGGGGTAAAAACAGTTGCTAATATTTTCCCAGCGCTTATGAGAAAGCCGGAGTGCGGATATATCTCACCTAAGAGTATTTATTCTATAGAGTGCTGGAAAGATTACCGCTGGTCCATTTAAGCGCTAGGAATAATGTTACTATTGTTTTTAATATTATTTGCACATTTAATTTTTTCTCCAATAAATGCCTATAACTTCTCGAGCAGGAAAACGCCGCAGATAAGGAAGACAGATTTAGAATCAGCGTTTTATGCTCTCCAGTATGGTATATAAATCATCGCAAAAGGTCACTTCGACTGACCATCCTTCCCTTGTAAGTGGTTCATGTCACTCGCACGTCTTCTACCTCTAGAAGAATGCAGTGTGGATGTCCCTTGTGGGGGTCAAGGGGTTGTCCTTTCACCTATACTCTTCAACATTTTCACTATGAGTTTTTGCTTATGCCATGGTCCAAAGGAGTTTCTTGCTGCGCATTCGCGGTTCAAGCTCGTGCTTGCCACATAAAGTGGCCAAGAGCATCTTACAAGGGAACGATACTCAATGTCCGTGGCCTTTCGAGAAGAGATGTATACCATTACACTCGCCTTCGAACGCTGATTCCGAATCTGACTTCCTTTCTGCTAATCGTTTCTGTGAAAGAAGTTATGGAGGAATTTCGAGCCAACTTTGGCCTCCTGAGGGTATGGTCACCGGAAGGACCTCTACCGGCGCCACGTTATTGTCTAGTGGTTAGTGTGATAGCCTCATAACTTGATGCAGGTGTAGGTTCATCCTTTTGTGTGTTTATTTTGCACTGCCTCAATTAAACTCGTTCGAGGTTTATTCGAATTATGATCACTGTATACATTTTAGCGCAAATAGTAATCATTTTTTCCAAATTTCCACATTTTCTGAATAGTAAGGGCGTTCAGTTAGCTCGAAGATGCGAAAGAAGGTTTTTGAGGCAATGCAAAACTGAAAAACACGAGAAGACTCGAACCTACACCTGCATCGACCCATGGGTCTATCGCACTAATCACTAGGCCACACCGCACCGTTACTGCTGGCGCTCCGAACGTATTTCAGTGGGCAGCGAAAGTCCGCACAACCCTTTATAACATCTTTGAAGCGATTAGCAGAAACGGATGTCAGATTCGGAATCAACGTTCCAAGACGAGTGTAATGGTATACAACTCATCTCAAAAGGCCACGGACACCGAGTATCGTTTCCTTGTTAGAAAAGTGATTGTTACATGTGAAAAGGGCTTTACATATGTGAGGGTTTTCACTCCACCGTGTATTACACTAATGAAGACACCGCTAGAGGTAAACACTATAGGAAAGAGGACATAATATTTATGGTAAATTCAGTTTTGGAAGCCAGCTATCTACATTTTGGGGAGTATTTAAGCAAATAAAAGAATACTACAAGGAGCGCCATGTAGTCCACAGATAGCTGATCTTACTCTTGCATATATGGAACTAGCTGGCTTACCCGGCTTCGCATGACCCTGCCAAAAGACTATGATAAAGGTCCTATCCCTATCCCTATCCCTGTACAACCTTTTCCTTTGCCTACTTATCATACCTTCGATACATAGAGCCATGTACTCTGGTAACCTTCACTTTGAGCGTCATGATAGAACACAACCTTCACCTGGGGAGAAGTACAGAAGTCATCCGGGGCGAAGCCCCGGAAATTATGACATAAGTAATGACAAAACCGTATAGGGATGAATTTAAATGAGGCAAATATAGCAGTGACATTCAAAAGAAGCTCAAAAAAACCGAAGGATTGCGATTTTATGGCCTTTTTTGCTGAGAAGAAGGTTTTTATTTAAAAATTCAATCAAAAACTAGAGCAAAATCTCTCAATTGACCTTTCTCTGAACTGCGGTTGAATGTTGGAAGTTCATTGAAGCCGCTAAAGTTCAATAAAAACGAAAAACTGCGCTCAAATCTTGCGCAAAGAGTCGCCATATGAATGCTGGTCTATTTCGTTATGGAGTGATTTTCAAGACCCGCGACGTTGTCAGTGCTCCTGGCCGTCTTATGAGGATCACAACGATATATAATGTTGCAGGGTTTCGTTGAGACCCTGCGAAGATCTACGACCAGAGCCAAATGCCCCGTCGGCTCTGGTCTGTCTCCGCTGCTCGTCTGCGTCTCGGCGCGCTGCGCGCTACCTCGCTACCTCAAATGCGGGGCGCGGGGCATTTGGCTCTGGTACCCTTTTCTTCGTTGTTCGGAGCCCAATTTCGATAATCTATATATCATATTAAAGCTCTTGATCTCTATTTTCACGCTGACAACGTCGCGGAACTTCTTTTTGGGATTTAAACGAGAAATCCTAGAAAAATGGCGTTTTCCAAAACCTCTTGTTTTTTCTTCAGTTTAACTTTTTTCACTCGGTTTTTTTGTGTATTCGATAGGTCTTGTTTCTGTCTATGATGTAGACAACGTCGCCGAGCTTACTTCTTTGCTTATGCCGGTTTTTTTTTTGTGAAAAATACAAAAAAGTGCGTTTTTTTAACCTTGTTCTCTTTCCGTGCTTTTGCAGCGAATTTTTTCCAGCTTGGACGATACTTGCTCAGAATGATGAGCGGAAGAATCCAGACAACGTCGCAGCGTACGAAACGACTATGCGGGGGTGAAAATTCAAAGGACGCATCAAAAATCAGATTGGCGTCGATGTGCAACACAACTTTACAGACATGTTTAACATGTTCAATTCAGTTGTTGACAAGTTCTTCTCAGAGGTGCGATAGGTGGAGCCGGGCCCCCCAAAAGTGAAGGTGGTTCCAGTTACCACTGGCCGGCCAAAAGTGAAGGTGGTAGTGTCGGACACTCACCTCCCAAAAAC